ATGAACCTATAGTCTGTTTGCAGTGAAAACGTACTGATGAATTTCACTTTAAACAAAAAAGTAAATAAAATAAAGTGAAATGGAGATTGCAAATCCTCATAATTTGACCTTGCTGATTGAACATTTAAATTTCAGAATTCTATTCAACTTATGTTATAAGTTGTTTAACGAACGATCATAGATTCGAATCACTATTATTGGTTTGTATTACAGGGGGGTAAGTGCAGTAGTTGGAACAGTGAAACAAATGCACGTGCGGTACGTGTTGCGTGTTAACATAGACCAACCCTACTTGTTCTCGGTGTTTCATTTAATGTGCATACCCCTTTGTAATACAAACCAATAATAGCGATTTGAAACTATGATCGTTTGTTAACCAATTTTTATCCTAGGTTGATTAAAATTCTGAGATTTAAATGTTCAGTTGGCAAGGTAAAATTATGAGGATTCGCAATCTTAATTTCACTTTATTCGAGTTACTATTTTGTTTAAAGTGAAATTCATCGGTACGTTTTCACTGCAAACAGACTATAGTATGGAGGGGATTTATCTAGGTATGCAAGAATTTATCTCGACTGGCGCAGAGGCTGTATTTGGCCGCAAGTATGTACTAAGCAGGGCTCCAGATAAGGGCCGTATAGGCGTATGTACAGATATAAAATATGTACGATACGGTAGGAAATAATTTTGAAAACGTAGCAGATACGCACCACAGCAAATGGTGTACGGTCTAAGAATCATTTACAGACGTATTTATCTGACAAAGTATTGTTTTATTGTTTATTGACCTGTTTATTGACCACAAGAGTAGCAATGTTGTGGTGCATATATGAAACGAGGTTCACAACGAAACGAAAACACAAGATTACTGATTACTAATTTCCATTCAGTACTCTTAAGGTTTTCCAGTACTCCTGTATTGAAAAAAATAAGAAGTACGTACTCCTGATGTTGAAAAATTATCTGGAGCCCTAACTAAGATTCCTACTTTGAATGTAAAAATTATGAATTTCTGACAATTTACATTGTATAAGAAGGGGGTAGCCTAATGGTTAAAGCATCCGCCCGTCACGCTGAAGACCTGGGTTTCATTCCCACATGGGTACAATGTGTGAAGCCCATTTCTGGAGTTCCCCGATGTGATATTGCTGGAATATTGCTAAATAGTAAATTAGCGTAAAACCATATTCACTCATGAGAACATTTTAAATAATGTAAGTTTGAACAATGTAACATCTGCTTGAAGGAATTTGTTTTGTAGCCCTAGATAAATCTAAAGATGGGTTCCATAATGTTTTTGTTACTTGGCCCATCATTTTCAGTTTACTCAATCCTTAACACAATTTGATTAAGAGAAATTGCCAGCAGTAGGCAGTCAAAGCAATCTTTTTATTTAATTTAAATTGCATATGACCAATCAATTTAAAAACTTCAAAGTTTAAATTTGAAATCCTGAAAGAAACTTTCTTGTCAGTATCAATGAGTCCTTCTCCGTTTTCTTTGCTGACCCACACGTCAGTCCAGTTCATCAGGTTCCCAGAGGCAAGGATGAAGGTCAAGGACACTTAAAAGTGCCTTGTGTGAAAAAGAAAAAAGATCGCGGAATAGACATGGTTTTTCAGTATTTGGTGATGCTGTCTGACAGATTCCCCAGAAAAGCATGGAGTGGGAAAGGACTTCCTGTTTAGATTGACAGAACCGTGTCACAGTAGGAGCTGGACATTTACACGGTTGTATTCCGAGGAGTGGACATTGATGAGTGGGGGTCTGGGAGTGGGGTCTGGGAGTGGGGGTGGGGTGCATGTGTGTGGAGGGGTATTAAAAGGGAGTAAGTGAAGGGTGAGTGAAACATATTGATGTTTCAGCAATGAACAAGTCAGTGAAAGGGGTAAAGATGGTGGATGGTGGGTGAAGATGGTGGATGGTGATTGAAAGGGGTGAAGATGGTGGATGGTGAGTGAAAGGGGTGAAGATTGTGGATGGTGAGTGAAAGGGGTGAAGATGGTGGATGGTGAGTGAAGATTCTGGATGGTGATTGAAAGGGGTGAAGATGGTGGATGGTGAGTGAAAGGGGTGAAGATTGTGGATGGTGAGTGAAAGGGGTGAAGATGGTGGATGGTGAGTGAAAGGGGTGAAGATTGTGGATGGTGGAAAGGTGAAGATGGTGGATGGTGAGTGAAGGGGTGAAGATGGTGGATGGTGATGAAAGGGTGAAAGGGGTGAAGATGGTGGATGGTGGGTGAAAGGGATGAAGATGGTGGATGGTGAGTGAAATGGAGTGAAAGGGGTGAATGATGAAAGTGGATGGTGATGGTGAGTGAAAGGGGTGAAGATGGTGGATGGTGGATGAAGATGAGGTGATTGAAAGGGGTGAAGATGGTGGAAAAAGGGATGAAGATGGTGGATGGTGAGTGAAAGATGAAGATCGTGGATGGTGAGTGAAAGGGGTGAAGATGGTGGATGGTGAGTGAAAGGGGTGAAGATGGTGGATGGTGAGTGAAAGGGGTGAAGATGGTGGATGGTGAGTGAAAGGGGTGAAGATGGTGGGTGATGAGTGAAAGGGATGAAGATGGTGGATGGTGAGTGAAAAGGGTGAAGATGATGGATGGTGAGTGAAAGGGATGAAGATGGTGGATGGTGAGTGAAAGGGATGAAGATGGTGGATGGTGAGTGAGAAAAGTAAAGATGGCAGAACGGTGAATAAGCTATACAAATCCAAAAATCTTGAATGCAACTCCAATTTCTCATCATTAACAAGGAGTATTATTTGTCAATTAAAGGAAAACTAAATCATATATATTTCATTATGTTGATGTTATGTCGATTAATACTGTTGGTACCATACAAGTAATTTTGGCCATTGGTGTACTCTTCTCGTTAATAGACAACAGTGATGCATCAATAGCTGACACCTCTCTGATGTATATTGACTTTCACTGTGATTTCATTTCATATACCATACTACTTTTGATGGGGTTACTGAGATGCTATTACAAAACTAACCCGTGAAGGTCCGGGTTAGAATGTGCCTTCAGTAACCCATACTTGTCGTCAGAGGCGACTAACAGGATCGGGTGGTCAGGCTCGCTGACTTGGTTGACACATGTCATCGGTTCCCAATCACGCAGATCAATGCTCATGCTGTTGATCACTGGATTGTCTGGTCCAGACTCGATTATTTACAGATCGCCACCATATAGCTGGAATATTGCTGAGTGCGGCGTAAAACTAAACTCACTCACTGTTACAAAACTTACTGCAGCTAAAGGTAATGTTGCAATAATTACAGACGTATTGATGCAGAATCATTTCCATGGCAATACTGATGCTATTTGTTATCCAAGCAATCCGTTCTGTAGATTCTCGGATATTCAGATTATCCTCATCAAAATTTGAGTGTAGGTTTAATTTGGTAGACTTGAAATATACCAAATGCAGCCAGTCAAAGGGAAGTAACTCTGTGGTGAATATTTTCTCCCAAAGCAGACAAAGGTGAAGATACTTTTGATATCAATTAATATTAAAACTGCCATGGCAGAGTTTGATACAGCTGGTCATATCCGGCTAGTCTATAGCTCGTTTTGGACTGGTGTTTTTGGATAAAGTATCTATATTTTCACTTGTCTCATATAACGATATGGCAATGAGCACTGTATTAACAATACAAGGCTCATGATACAATACATCAATTTACAACCACTGTATCAGAATACATGCAATATATCGTGTGGCATCATTTTCCATTACTACTTATAATGATGTAAAAGCATCTGAATAATATCAAAAATTTAAAAAACAAATGATTTGGGGTTGCTATTCCCCTGCAAAGAGGGAGACAGTATGAGACAATGTGAACTTTTGTTATATAATATTTGGAGATGATTCATATCACACCCATAATATCGGGATACATATTGTTTTGTGGCCTGTCAGTATTGTTGCACTTCTAGTCTCAAGTAGCTGCCTTCCACACTGACTCGTGAATATCCGGTTTAGAATTGATCCTCAGTAACCCATGCTTGTTGTGTGAGGCGACTAATGGGATCGGGAGGTCAGGCTTGCTGACTTGGTTGACACATCATCGTATCCCAATAGCGTAGATCGATGCTCGTGTTTTCGATCGTTTTCGATTGTCAGTCTCGATAATCAGGCTCGATTATTAGCTGGAATTAAACAACGAACAAACAGTCCGCTGCCATATAACTTGAATATTGTTGAGTGCCGCGTTAAACAACCAACAGACCATGCTTGTAACATCCAGATTGGATTACTGTAATAGCCTTTTATACGGACTCACGGACATCTCAATAAACTACAAAAAGTCCAACATACAGCAGCACGTATTATATCCCTTACCACTAAACGAGACCATATCACCCCTGTACTCTTATCATTACACTGGCTTCCAATCAAGTTCCGGATTGACTTCAAACTTCTTTGCATTGTGTATAAATGTTTGCAGAATCAAGCTCCTTCATATCTCTCTGAACTTCTCACTGTGTACTCCCCTACCAGAACTCTCAGATCTCAAGACCAATGTCTTCTCTCCATTCCCAAAGTTCTCCTTTCTTCCTTTGGCAAGAGGTCTTTCCAGTACGCTGGTCCTACTCTGTGGAATTCTCTCCCTCTCCACATAAAGCAGTCTCCCACATTGGAAACTTTCAAAATTAAGTTGAAGACTTTCTTTTTTTCCAAAGCCTATCCCTAAAATCAATCTTTCTGTCATCAATTTCAATGTATACTTATTTTACTATTTTATCCTCTGTATGCATTGTATGTATGTTTTTATGTAGCGTCTTGAGCATGTATAAGTGGGTGGAAAATGGCGCGCTAAAAATATCCATTATTATTATTATTATTATTAGACCACCACCATATAGCTGAAATATTCAAACAAATATTCAACAATCAAACCTTCCGCAGGGGTCGGTGGCCGTGGCCAACATGGAAGTATATAATTACAATTATACTCAGACCATTGTTCATGGTTCTTGTTTCAGGAAACCCCAGATGGTGAAGAAGGAGGAAGTGGTCGATCGCCTCTCCGGAATAGGAGGTAAAGTTCACATCACTTCATCAGCCATCACATCTTGTTAGTTGTGACAATGTTCCTGTTGTGTCAATCTTCTTGTTGTGTCAGTGTTCTTGTTGTGTCAATGTTCTTGTTGTGTCAATGTTCTTGTTGTGTCAATGTTCTTGTTGTGTCAGTGTTCTTGTTGTGTCAGTGTTGTTGTTGTGTCTATATAAAAAGGTTAACTGAAGCTCCTGAAGATTTGTGATTTAATGATACAATTCTGCAATGATACATTGATACAGTGTTACAGTGCCTGGATTTGTCACCTGCAAATGGGACACAGTTGGTCCCATGGTTCAGGTGCTGCAGCTTTGCTGAGCAGAGTTGCGTCCCTTGGCTGTGCTCATCGTGGTTCAAAATCTGAATGATTTGCTCTCTTGATCTTTAACGTATCAGCACTGCTGAGTGGTCTTTGATTAGAATAGGTTCCTGGATCTAGATTTTCGAAGCTCTCTTAGCGCTAAGATAGTCGTAAGTGCCATACATTAACATTAACTTGCGACTATCTTAGCGCTAAGAGAGCTTCGAAAATCTAGGCCCTGGTTACCTGTTCTTACCTTAAAAGGCTATTTAGTGAGGTGGTGAGGTTTGGTTGATTGCATCACATCATACCAATGGCTTTATGTTCATAATATCAATCACTGGTTAGTCTAATCCAGACTGTACTATTTACAACCTGGCTGTAATATTGCTAAGTGCACAAGAGAGCATACAGGGATAAACATCTATTTCTTGCTTCTGTTTGGGTTACAATGATGTGAATTTGTCATCTGAAATACTTTTCAAAGGGAATTGAAAGCCTATGCACTCACTAGATTTGATAATATTATAATTAACCTTGCACACAATTGGGGGGGCGGTGGGGTAGCCAAGTGGTTTAAGCGTTGGCTCGTCACGCCAAAGACCCGGGTTCGATTCCCCATATGAGTACAATGTGTGCAGCCCATTTCTGGTGTCCCTCGCTGTGATATTGCTGGAATATTGCTACAAGTGGCGTAAAACCATACTCACTCACTCACTTGCACACAATGGGTCACAATTGCCCATAGTGATTCACAATCGTCAGTCGTGACTGTAGTTGTATGAATGAACGTTGTTCAATGCTCCAACCTGTAAATAATATGGTCTGGACCAGGATAACCAATCCAAAGATCTACAGCCAAGTTTGACAACCCTATCTACAGACCTATAGCATAATCACTGCATGAATGGGTATCATGATACACTTACCTTTAGTATCGATTCATATCGCGGTATTTAAATGAGTCATTCAGTTGGCGCAACTTTTGCAAGTTCCATGTCCAACATGTAGAAACACGACACTTGTCTGATTTTATTGCGAATGCTATTTTTCTGTTAATCTGTTAATTCCAATATTCAAAGTTTATAAACTGCTTTATCATTCCTTATTATGCTTATTTTGAGCTCCACGACCTATTTGCTACTTGCGTGTGGCTACAAAACAAACAATGAATAGCCATCTCATAAGATGCATGTGTATCGTTAGATTTTCGCGCTAGGAAGTAGATTCATGCTTGTCAGTGTAGTATCAGCCTTGGCCACTGATTATTATTTTCTGTGAAAATAATTTTAAAACATGAATCGATACAAGGCTAGGTGTATCATTTCGTCAGATGGCAATGCTTCGATATATAGGCGAATCGTGAAATCCCTGTATTTCACAATCAATTGAGATCATGGTAGTCAGTGTTAGCAGAATATATTCTACATGTCTTTTCTGTGTGTTTCATGTGTGTGCATTACTATATTTTCATGCTTTTGTCTTCAGATTTATTTAATATTTTCATGTAAATGTTGTCATTTCATTTTGTGTATCTTTCCTTTGTCCTGCATTATATTGATTATGATTTTCATATGCATATCACTCATATCTAGTCACCCATACAATACATCGCTCATCCAGTCCTTGTCAGGTTGTGCATAGCTGTCAATCAACACACATTTCAATCCAGGGAACAGTTTCTGTTGAGTCACATGAACATATTCATTGAACTGCAACATACATTTATGATATTTGTTAAACATGTCAAGTTACTTTACAATAGAATATTGTCCCAAATAATCTTCAGACTAGTCCCATGGAAATATACTGATGCCATCCTTACAATTTTCTTGTGAAAGTGAACCGTGAAGATCCAGGTTATAATTGATCTTCAGCAACCCATGCTTGTCGTGAGAGGCGACTAACGGGATCGGATGGTCAGACTCGCTGACTTGGTGGACACATCATCACAGGGGTGGAAATAACTTTACAATTGCTAGTGTACTCAGGTACAGTGGCACATGTAAAATCACTTGCCCTGATAATTTTCCATTATACCGGCCGTTTTCTTGTTGATTTTTAAATAAACAACATAATTAACATTGGAAAGTCAACTGGACACCGGTACAGTGTGATATACAAATTTGCTTGCCCGACAGAAAAACACACTGGACTCGGACGTCGGGCAATGGGTTATTTCCACCCCTGCATCATGTCCCAACTGTGTAGATCGATGCTCATGCTGTTGATCACTGGATTGTCTGGTCCAAACTTGATTATTTACAGACTGCCGCCATATTGCTGGAATATATGCTGAGTGCTGCGTTAAACAAAAATCAAACAAAGAAAACTTTATCAAAGTGAATTGAATTTGTGACTAATGTACAGATTATGGGACATTTTTATCAGTCAGTGTTCTATATGTGAATAATGTAATTGTAGGTATCAATATTTTCTGTACGGTTATGCTTGTATGAACTTAATAACTGTAATTTATCCCTCTGAATCAGAACAGCTGTCGACAGCAATACACAAAATCGAAATATAGTGTCATCACCATTTCAATGTAATTAACATACCGGGGAAATGAATCTGTCATGCCTACTGGGCAGGTCATGTGATGATCTTAGGGTCAAATTTCACGAGTTGAGGTCAAGTGATGAGAATGTTTGTATCTTTAACCACATCCTTGGTTTGAGGGCGGTGTGGAGTTTCATGATGTGCTGTGTAGATAGATATATATATGTCATCCCATTATGAAATGGTATTTGAGGAATTTTGAGGATGTGCCTTTGTGATACATGTCTTGAGTTTCTTTTCTTAAAGGCACAATGTCACACCACATTTCTCTGAAAATATATGCTGCATTTCTGTCAATAAAATTAACTATCAGGCCTCAGGGAAGCTATCATATAATTTATTTGAAAAAAATATGTATTTAGATTACAATATTAAATTAAAAAGTTTGAATGAATTAATGCAACATTGCATTAGATTGACTTTTACGCCCTCTACTGGCCGAACATTATTTCAAGCGAACCCCATAGAGTTATGTCCCCTGGAACGCTCTTTACGAATATTCTATAATGCAACTCGTGATTGAGGCCAGTTCGGCAAACACTGACAACACAACGTGCGTCAGTTTTTGATTACGGAACAATCATTTACATTCCATTTATGGCAAGTGTTCAGTTATCGAATTCAGGCAAGTTGTAAGGGATAATAAGTCTTTTATTGCATCAGTAAGAAGCTAAAGTGAGTGCATATGCCCCCAATATGTAAAATATAGACCAAAATTTTGTCGAAAATGTGTGACATTGTGCCTTTAAGGTTATTAGGGTTTAGAGAAATTGCGGAAGAAAATTGACCTGACACAGTGACTGGAATCGCAGACTGTATATCCCAGCTATATAATTGAATAGTGAGATTCAATGAGGTTTTTAAACTAACAATTATGAATTGAGTTTGTTGTAAGGATGTTCCTTTGTGTAATATGAGTCTTGTGTTAATTTTCTTAACGATATTTTAGTTGGCGAGTGTCCGGGTGTGAGTGAGTGAGTGAGTGAGCTTAGTTTTACGCCGCACTCAGCAATATTCCAGCTATATGGCGGCAGTATGTAAATAATCGAGTCTGGACCAGACAATCCAGTGATCAACATCTGGACCAGACAATCCAGTGATCAACATCATGACCATCGATCTGTGCAATTGGGAACTGATGACATACATGTGTCAACCAAGTCAGTGAGCCTGACCACCCGATCCCGTTAGTCGCCTCTTACGACAAGCATAGTCGCCTTTTGTGGCAAGCATGGGTTGCTGAAGATCTATTCTATCCCGGATCTGCACGGGTCAGTGAGTGTCCAAAAGAAATTTGACCTTTTATGGTCACAGACTGCTGTGTTTCAGCATTATCAAGTAATCAGATTCTATTGTGGTATTTTATTTTTAAAAAAAAGAATAAATAATTGTTTATTATTTTGAGGTCTGTATATGCTATGTCTTTAGCATGAAGACCTCCCTAAGAGTTGGAAACACTGAGCGGAAACTCTGTGGTTCAATCCCCTGACCAGAGACATTAAGACATTGTACTTTGTGTTACCTGACGTACAGATTAATGGATACAACAAGCACTGGTTGGCTCTGAGTGGGGTGGCCATGTTAAACTGTGGCAGGGTTATCTCATCTGACTAGAACTGTAAAACCGGCATGTCCGGACTGGTACAAACGTGTGTACATACACATGTGTTAGACTGAGGCTGTGAAATAATGTTTTGGGATGGAAAATGTAACTCCATTTAAACTGAAAAGGAGCCCTTAGTTGAGATGGTAGATAGTGGAAAATCTCGACTTGCTCAATTTAGGGCTACAGCCTAGTCCCAGTGCTCATGAGTCTTACAGTCCACAGTATTTTCCCTCCTGCCCTGGGGCATTTGGGTAGCCTAGTGGTTAAAGCATTCGCTCGTCAAGCCAAAGACCCAGGTTCGATTCCCCACATGGGTACAATGTGTGAAGCCTATTTCTGGTGTCCCCGCCATGATATTGTCGTAATATTACTAAAGCATTGTAAAACCATACTCACTCACCCACTCCCTTCTGCCCAGCCGTTACTGTTATACCAAAGCTCTAAGTGAAGCAAGTCTAGATTTTTACCAGGTTCTGAATCTACAAGCTCACTGGTTCTCCTTTTCAATTTAAA